TATCGTCGATAAGCACAATATCATCCGCGAAAAGCATGCACCATGGGACCCCTTCTTGCACACCTTGAGTTAGGACGTCCATCACCAAGGCGAACAAAAAAGGGCTAAGGGCAGACCCCTGGTGCAACCCCATCCCTACCGAGAATGACTCAGAGTCGCCCCCGAAGGTCCTTACCCTAGTCATAGCCCCATCGTACATATCCTTGATCGCGCGAGTGTACGCGATGGGAACTCCTCTCGTCTCAAGGCACCTCCATAAGACCTCCCTTGGCACCCTATCATACGCCTTCTCGAGATCAATGAACACCATATGAAGGTCCTTCTTCCTAGCCCTATACTCTTCCATTAACCTCCTCACGAGGTGAATGGCCTCTGTAGTTGATCTGCCAGGCATGAAACCAAACTGGTTCTCAGAGATGCATACCCCTTTCCGCACCCTATACTCAATGACTCGCTCCCAAACCTTCATGGTGTGGCTAAGCAGTTTGATGCCTCTGAAATTCTCGCAGCTCTGGATGTCACCTTTGCCTTTAAACAGGGGGACCAAGAGACTCTCCCTCCACTCATCTGACATCCTTGCTGTCCGGAAGATAACATTGAAGAGTTTGGTTAACCAAACCCACGCACCACGACCCGCATGCTTCCAGAACTCCACCGGAATCTCATCTGGTCCCAAAGCTCTCCCACTACGCATCCCGCGGAGAGCCCGAACCACCTCTTCCAGGCAAATGCGCCGACAATATACACGAGACGCCCCGGATTGCCCTAGCTCATCAAGAACTAGCCTCTGCTCTCCTCCCGCATTTAAGAGTTCACAAAAGTACTCCCCCCAGCGCTTAGCCACCTTGGCAGTCTCAACTAACACTCTACCATCACTGTCCTTCACGCAACGCACGTGGTCCAGATCTTGGGCCTTCCTCTCACGCACTTTAGCAAGCCGGAACAGTGTATTAACACCGCCTTTCTCCTCAATATCCTTGTAGAGGCGTTCAAAAGCGGCATTCTTTGCCCTTGTAACCTCTAACTTAGCTTCTTTACGTGCCTTCTTGTACTCCACTCGTAACGCCGCTCTTTCTTCCTCAACATTGCAGCCCATGTACCTCACATATGCCACCTTCTTAGCTTCCACCTTACTCTGGACTGAATCGCTCCACCACCAATCACCTTGCCGCCTACTCCCTGAGCCAGAGCTCACACCAAGCACTTCCCTGGCAGCTTCCCTGATGCAGTTAGCAGTCTGTGTCCACATATCAGCAGCCTCTCCGGCCGATTCCCACGCCCCTTTCTCCTGCACTCGCCTGACCAACTCAGAGATATTCTCCCCACTTAGTCTCCTCCATCCGATGTGTGCGTTGCCACTCGAAACTCTCCTATGTTTCACCCACCTGATCCTGACATCCATCACCAGAAGCTTGTGTAGGGTGGTGATGTTTTCCCTCGGAATTACTTTAGCATCCTTGCAGAGCACCCGATCACACCTGCGCAGGAGAAGATAGTCGATCTGTGTCGTCCCCACTCCACTAACAAATGTAGCCAAATGGTCGTCACGTTTAGGGAAACACGAGTTAGCAACCACCATATCACTCACCCGGGCAAACTCCAAGAGTGAAACTCCCGCTGGGTTCCTGCTGCCAAAGCCAAAGCCACCGTGCACGTCCTCGAAGCCCTCATTCAATTCTCCAATATGGCCATTGAAGTCGCCTCCAATGATGACTTTCTCAGTCAGTGGGAAACCAACAACCACCCCATCCAAGGCATCCCAAAACTCCCTCTTTACTTCGTCAGCCAAGCCAACCTGCGGGACGTAAGCACTCACGACATTGATCGCACACCCACCCAAAACCAACTTGATAAACATCAGACGATCACTAATCCTCTTCACCTCCACCACATACTCTCGCAGCTCTGGCGCCACCAGAATACCGACCCCATTCCTTCCCCTAGCTGAACCTGAATACCATAATTTGAAACCATCAACCAGAGCGCGGAATCACGGGTGGGTCCTGGTTTCTTGCACGCACGCCACCTGAATCCTTCTCCTCTTGAGAACTTGCACCAACTCAATTGACTTACCTGTGAGGGTCCCTATGTTCCATGAGCCGAAACGCACATGGGACACTACACTACCCCTCTGCGACCCTCCTACCCCTGTCCCAACCCCGGGATATGACCTTACAGTTACATTGCTAACACACGCCACTACACCCACACAATAGCACCAAAAAGCAAAGCAGAGACGAGACTACAAACACAAAACAGTATGTACGAACCACTGCTAAGAAAGGTAAGAGCAACACAACAAATACAATAAAGGAGTACAGTAGTAGCACAATTAGTTAGCAATCAAAGCAACACCGCAACAAATCACAAATCACATAAGAGCTAGAGTGGAGAGGGTGGGGGCGGGATGGGTGTTGGGTTGTGTACTGACTAGGGGCTGGGGCTGGGGGATGGTACCATAGGCTTTATCTTTGCTCTTCTCCTCTCAGTCACCAAACAGCCATTGTCAAATGAAGGAGGCATGGCATTTATCCCCAAGTTCTTTTCCAATATTTGCTTCAGAAGAAGCTCTTTACTCAGGTCCGATTCGCCGCTCCACCAGCCCGTCAACGTAAAACTGTCGTATTCCTCTCTCGTCCTTCTCCGTGTACTCGCGGTGGGGCCTGCCTTAGCCACAGACATCACATTCTTCGCTTCTGAATAAATCCTGGAGAACGATTCTGCAGAAAGTGGGAATCTTTCAGGAATGTCAACTTTGTTAGCTTGGAAATACTGGGAATCTTTCTCGGGTTCATGTTTGTCGTACCCGTACAAATTTTCCTCGGTTAGGCAGTCATCAACCAAGAAACTCAAATCACAATTCTCTCCACATTTTCCATTCTGGTTTGACATTGACTTCAACTCGAGATATTGAATCACGGACGGAGCATTTCTCATTATGTTCTTCATGTTAACATCCTTTCCCCACGGCAATGTGGCTTGGGCAACCTGAACAAGCCTCTCAAGAAGTTCTTTATGCCTCAACTTACAAGTCTTGAGCGCCACGTGTAACTCATTTGCCACATCACCAAGCCGAACTGTGATTCCATTCAGCTCAGCGACGAACACTAGCACGGCTGCAACAACGGGCATTGGCCTCCTGCCCGTTGTCACGAACCAGTTGACCAAACACTGTAGCAGAAGTGTCCCTTGTTTCAACATCCTCGAGATTGTATCCTCGGAAACATCCCTTAACCTCGAACTGTTTATGATTGCCTTTTCGAACCAGTTGACAATGCTCAGCTCTGGCAATTCCAGATCGAGAAAGTCGACAACGCGGTTGACCATTCTACCCATTTCGAAAACATCACACCCTACCGTATTCGCGGCCTCTTCCATCGGCAAGACCTTTGAATCCATCCTCATGACAATGTAAGAGCAAGCGCCGATTAGCACAGAAAACCACCTCCCTTGACCGTATTCGTCCTCCGTGATTCTCCTAATCATAATGTTAACATCATCTGATTTCTTTTCTGTAATTCCAAACTTGTACATCAAATCATCAATCACCTTCTTCGCTTCGTAAATCTTTGTCTCTCTATAACTATACCAATTTCCAGTACCCGTTGTACCGACATGAACATAGGTGCCAACAGGCCCATTGATGCCTCTAATATGGGCCTGGAAATTGTCAAAGTCTTGAACAACATCACATGATCTGCAAACCACATCGCCTGTGCTAATCTCTGAATAAATGGAATTGGATCCACAATTCTTGCAGGTACGATGTCCTTCCATGTTCAGCTTAGATCTAAAACTATGAATTGGGAAGTAAAATCTCTCAAAAATCTAATCTTCAGGACCGGCAAATAAGGGCATATATTGCAATAGCATTTGGAAGCATCTCCAATCCATATTAAACAGAGTTTAATTTAAAAAAGAAGGATCAGATAACTAAGCGTGAAAAATTAGAGTAAACAAAAGAACCACTAATTTATCCAAGCTCTATTGACCAAATAGCTCTATTGACCAAATAGTTCCAGTACCTCCCGTGGTTTGCAAAATTGGCACCAATATTCCATATGTTTTCAAAACTTATTTCTAAAGTCCCTGTGATTTCAAAACGTCGCACCAACACGATCATTTTCCGGCGAAGAGGGGGCGTTGGTGCATGTTTTCTAAACCATAGGGGGCACTCGTACTCATTTTTTATTTTTCGTTTATTGTTTGATTTTTATTTTCATTTTTAATCTATTTTTTTAACTATTTGTTTCCTTTTCCTATAATTTTTTTATTATCTTTTCAATTTTTTATAATGTTTTAAAAAATTCCAAATTCTGTGTTTGAAATAAAAATAAAAAATAGCATATACTCTATCTATCTCAAATTAAGTATTTTCATTTTTTGTTTTCTAGAATAAAAATTAAAAATATGGAAAAACAAAATGAAAAAAAATCGAAACATGCAAAAAAAAAGAGTCTTATACAAAATAAATTCAGAAAGCCTAAAAAAGTCCGTAGAATTGGGATGTCAAAAACGGATATTCATTTTTATTTTTTAATGTTATTTCATATTTTACTCCTTATATTTTGAAGTTCTCAAGAAAAGTTTTTACTTTTTTATTTCAGAAAACAAAAAAATAAAAATTGTTAATTTCAGACGTACAAATGCAGTATATGTTATCTTTTTTTGAAATAAAAATTATTTTTGAATTTTAAGAGCATTATAAAAAAATTAGAAAGAAATTTTAAATCTTGATTAATAAAAGAAACAAATAAAGCAAAAAAGGGAAAAAAAACGAAAAATTAGAAATGAACACATGTGCGTCCTATGGTTCGAATGAATCTTCAAATGCAATAGCATAATAAGCCTATGAAAGGAGACAGTAATTCAATGAATATTGCAAAAAAAAAAACACTTCTATGTTGAAAAACTTGTTAAACAGTTTTTTCTTAGAATTAATCTAGTCGCCATGGGGGACACATCATTTTTTTGCAGCTTAAAATCAGCCCAAAAGAAAATCAGCATTGGATTGTGAAACATCATATCAAGTGCTTACACTATATAGTGTCAATACAATCTGTGTTTTGTTCAACAAGATGCTAAGAAGGTAAAAAAGACAGAATTTAATACTCCCAGTTCTGTTTCAAAATGATAAAAATAAAAGTAAGTTGATAACCCAGATTGTTTTCATAGATTGTAACACACACTGTTAACACAAGTCCACTGTCAGCTTCATTGAAGAAAACAATGTAGTCCATACCTGACCTTGAACTATACCATCCATTCTGAATGAAGAGGACAATGTAAATGGGCTAACTGAACTACCATCATATCCAGTGAGGGAGTCAAAATGACCACAACTTAAATGACAGGAAGTATGTTTGGAACTATGGAGATTTAATCAAGCAAATGTTGACAGTGTGACCAAACTCAAAAAGTGATTAATAATGCTTTTAATGGGATGAAGATTAATATTAATGGAGAAAATCTGACAAGTACTTGATAAAGCATCATGAAGATAACACCAAGAAGAAAGAGAGTGAATTCCATAACTGTACCCACCTAGACCTAATTAACCAATATCCAAATTTTAGTAGATAAATTGCACTCACATTAAGTACCTTTTTTGCAGGGAAATGTTTTGTTTTTCTGTAGCTCTTTCTTGAGTCGATGCATTGCTCGCGTTCTTGTTGGATTCAGTTTTCGTAGCTACCTAGCAAAAATGTAGTATATCAATGAAAGCAAGCACCAGAGTATCATAATACAAAGGAGCATATTAGCATCTCAGGTCTAGACCTAGAAAAACTCAAGTCTACTAGATTGTTTGTGACTATGATATATCTTATGAACCTTCAGAGATTAAAAAGAATTTATTTGAATGTGTTTAGGGGTAATTTCGATCACAATTTGAAAGTCAAGAAATATCATAGGGGCTGTGAGAGTGCTCAAATACTTGTGTAGTTAAAGTCTTCCAACATAATAGGATAGAAACTAAAAATTCTGTTCATGAGAATGGGGTGGCCCGTATGATGGTGTGAGGGTCATGACATGCCTTTTGCCTTTTTAACTTACTTTTTATAGAATAAATTGAACAATTGAAGTGAACTAGCAATTTCTTAATCACGTGGGGCATGTGATATACCAATTTCTTATCAGACACAAGGCAAATATGTTGTTTCATTAGAGAGTTCTTCCCTCTGATTTTGTCTTAAGGAACAGAGTTTGTTTTTCTTTTTATTCTACTCATTATTTTTACATGCAGATAGAACAATCCACTGCATATATTATTTTTACATGCAGATAGAACAATCCACTGGTTAACTCAAATGTCTAATGAAATTGAACATGGGGAAGCAGGGAACATTTGCAAACTGGAGGGTGCTAGAAGCATACCCCAATGCATAGATTTAGGAACAACAACTTTAACAGACACCAGTTTCTAGATAATAATCAGAAAGATGTAACTATACAATATTGAATAGCATTTTACCCTCTCGTATTGTCATATATTAAATTAAAGTATTATACCACAAAACCAATCTAATTTCAAGAGATAAAAGGAAATTAAGACAAATAGCCTTAATTTCTAAACAACATTCAGAATAGAGACAACAAAGAGTTGAGAATAGATTCTCTAGCAACAGCACAACAACAATAGTGTATCACTTCCCACTTTATTCTTTTGCTAACCCCAAAACCGAACATTGTTAGCCCTACCCCCCTCCTGCCCTCCGCTTTATTCACTCATTTTCGTTTCTTTCCTGCCATTTTTTTCAAAGACCCGACATTTATTTTCTCAAAATGGAGAAGATAATGATCAACCCCACTCATCTAAATGTAGTTTTAAACTAAAATATGCACACTGGATTCTGGAAAGTAGAAACTGGAGAATGGTAAATGGACTCTCGAATATAAAGTTGAAAAGAACATGCCCTAAACAAGGAACAACATGTTTTTTTCACATCGATCACTCTGTTAAAAAATTATTTCATATTCTACTTTCATCTAATGATATGTAAACGAGATGCTAAAGATAAGGGTATTTTAGGAAGAAATTGTTCTTCTCTATTTTTAGGGGGTAGGTAGAGTTTTTTCTATTGAATCGATCATTATCTTCTTGTCTTATCCTCGCATTTTATCTTTCATCTAGTTAAGTTTTGGAGGTGAGTCAGGGGCCTATTGAAACTTGGCTTTCAGTATCCATATATAGGCATAGATAAGATTTAATTTGTGCTGCTCATTTCAAACAATACTTGTGATAATGATAGTTAAATTACTCTAAAATACATCATAATCACTTGCAATAAAGGATCAATTGATTTTTGTATGATTTCTTCATTTTAATATTACATTTTCTTTATTTATAATTCTAGTTATCAATTAAAAGTTTCAATTATCGAACTTTATATTTTAACTTTTAGACTGCAGACTCTAATCTAGTAATCTTCATATCTTAGTTAAAATTACTACGCTGTGTTACTTATTTCATTTGAATGTGTATCACTTAAACAAGGATAGCTTTGTAATGTTACCTTATAGGTTGACAGGTTTGCTGAAATTTGCTCAAGAGCCTGATTACTTCCTTCCAATAGATTCCTTGATCCAAGTAGTGCTGCATAGTTACCATTAAAAGAAAATTAGTTTGCAATAAGAGATTGGAATAAACTACACCAGTAACTCAATTCTTAGGATCAAGTTATCCAAGAAATAATGGTAGAAAAAAGAGCAACAACAAAACATTTATCTAAATTTAATGGGGCTACATAATTCAATACTAGTAATAAAATCCCCCTTTTCCATTCATTTTTGTCAAGCACAATATACTTATTACGCCCCAATGCTCTGGCGCCTCACTTTACACCTTCAATCCAAGAAATTTTTTGTCTACCCTAACTTCTCTTTATGTCTCACACGCCCCAAGACTTCACTCACCATACAAGTAGTCCTATTAAGTAAATATGCAGGCATGGACAAAAAAGGAATTAACAAGAGGATCAGCAATCTAAATTAATGGCAGGGGGGGGGGATAATTTCAATGCCATCCTGCCTTTTTTTTAGGAGGGGATAATTTTAAGTGTCATAAGATATGAATTAAAAGTTTGAAGGGGTATAATACCTGAATTCAATGAAGGGGGCCAAACGATCCCTAAGATGAACGATGAATCTGGCCGAACGATTGAGAAGAAGCTGTTGATCAACGACGAATCTGGCCGAACGATTGATGAACGAAAAGGATGAATTCGCTGGATTAATGAATTCACTCGAACGAAAACGATGGAATTGATCACTCGATTAGGTCGTAGGTGATGCCGGATATGCTAGCGCTGGACGGCGGGACTGAATTCACCCATTAATTTTTTAGGCGGATGAAATTGGGTGCTGAAGTGAAAGAACTGGGCGCTAATTAAGTTTTGTAGGCGGATGATTTTTTTCCAGTGAATTCCTTGTGTTGATTTTTAATGTTTTTTAAAGAATAATAGAATATTCCCTCCGTCCCATAAATATTTCATATTTCAAAAAAAGCGCGTCCTTAAAATGAGTAATTTTGGTGTTATTTTCTAATTTTGCCCTTACTTTATAAAAAAGTAGAATGAGATGTGTAGAATAGATTAATCATAATTAAAAAATAACACTAAAATTACTCATTTTAAAGGCGTGCCATTTTTGAAACAGGAAATGTTTTATGAGACGGAGGGAATATAATTTAATCTTTTCAATTCCTAGGTTACAGAAGGAAAAAAAAAAAGATCAATAATGATTTAGGTTTATTTTATAATATTTAGCCATTTAGGTATACTTAAGTCATTTTGCACACATTTTTATGCGGGTAAATCAATTTGCCTTTTGTCTCTCTTTTAAGTATAGGGAATGGTAAAACGTAAAAGTGCTAAATTTTGTTACCACACTTGGTCATGTGCGGCGAATTAAATGCGGCTAAAAGGCTCTTTTCTTGTAGTGGTATAAAATTTAAGTTCATTAGATTCGTTTTGAAATGTGCCTTTGAAAAATGGAGTGTCATTTCTATTTTTATGTTATGTTCGAGTTTTGTTGCATATTTTTCATTGTTCAACTAAATATTCAGCATCACTTGGACATTATTCTTCTCACTAGTCATTATTAAGTCCTATTTAGGAAAATAAAAAAGTTTAAATCCTAAATTGGGAAATGACTTATGTTTTAGTACTATTCAGTGCAAATTAAACTATTTTTTATTGGTTCTGAATTAGTTGTCAACTTACAATATTTAAAGGAGAGTGTGAATGCTTATAATTTATAAAGTAAATGTGTGGTATTTATCTCTTACGCTAACATTAAGGAGCGAGACGAAAATTTTTAAAGCTTATCAATTGAAGCTGTTCAACAAATCTTACGAAGGAAAAAAATCTGAATCGTAGGAAATCGGCTTTTAATCGAGTAAATGTGGCGATCGGTGCGTCGAGATGAGAACGGAAAGCTACGGTGCTCTTTTTTGGTTTCCGAGACGACTTCATCGGCTAGAAAAGCTACATGTGCAAGATTTGGACCGTCATTAAAAAGATAACAGCCGAATTTTTAGAAAATGCATATTTTTCGCAAATTAATGAAATGTGAGATTATTTTAGGCAAATTTACATTTTTCTTTTTTAATTTTAAAATTTATGTTTTTAAAAATATAACAGCATACTTTTGTTAGAGATTTGTCTCAATTTTTTAATATTACGATTTACAAATTTTGTTTTATGTTCTGGTGGAAATATAATATTGGATTATCTAAAAATAATTCAAAGTATCGCTCGTAAAAGAAATTGTAATACAAAAAATTGTAGTGAGTTATAAAATTAATTAGTGCCATTTTAGAAAAAAATATTGTGTCATTTTCACAACCTTTGAATTATTATTTTGGGGAGAAAATTTGTACTGAATTATCGAAAAAAATCACAACTTGGATAGTTCCATTTTAGAAAAAATAATACGGGCAATAAAAGATTATCAACAAAAATTTTGGAGTGTTGTTCATGAAAAAATTGCAAAACAACAAAAAATGTAGTGAGTTATAAAATTAAAAGTTCTTTTTCAGAGAAAAAATTATTGTGTTCTTTTATAAAAAAATTATATAGAATTATCGAAAAATATTCACAAGTTCAAAGCATCAAAAAAACAATTCGATGTGTTGTTAAAGAAAAATATTTACAACTTACAAAGAAATATAGTGAGTTATGAAGTAAAAAATTAGCTTCATTGTGTAGAATAATTTATTGTTTCATTATTAACAAATTATCATTGTTGAAAAAAATAATTGGTTTTACTCTAAAAAAAATAGTTAAATTTGGTGGAGTATTATTTATGAATTTTTTTTAAAAAAAATACATTTAAATTTAATGTTAGAAATTAAAAAATGAAAAAAAGAGAATTTACCTAAAATAATTTCACCTTTCATTTATTTGCGAATAACATACATTTTCCAAACATTCTGTTAAATGACCATTAATTTTTTAATGATGATCCAAAACTTACTAATAAAAAATGAAATTATTTTTGAGAGAGGGCAAAAGAGTAGAATTATTTGAGATGATTTTTCATTAAAAAAAATCGAGGAAAGAAGGGAAAGGAACCGGTCTGGGCCCATTTTGTGCGCATTTCGCTCGGTTCGGGTCCAAATTATAAACCAAGTAATGAAACACCCATGGTCCTGGCGGAGCCGCGGAGGCTAAGGGAAACAGAACTCCTCAAGCTCGACTACAATGGCGGAAACAAGACGGCTGAGAGGCCATAAAGGCTAAAGCGGCTGCCACGTGCTGTATTGCTTCCCGGAGCCGCCCTGGCCTTATTGCTACTGCGGCCGAGGTAACCATTTTTTTGTCTCTGTCAGTAATATTTCCTTTCTCGAAATTTGGGCAATTTATCCTTACTCGTTCCTTAAAGGACTCGAATTTGAGATTTAGCTATTCTCGTTTTCTGACTTTCAATTGACCCTAATTCAAACATAGGATGGCAATGTTTGCTGGTTTGACATGCGGTGCAAAGATGTGGCTTTTACTATGGATGTTGCCAATCATAATCCCATTTCCTCGATCTGTTTCAAGCCAGGTCCCTTGCACTCTCCCTCTTAGGTTTCAATATACTCCCTCCGTCCCAGAAAGAATGACACGTTTACTATTCTGGCCTATGGATAACTTTTGTTTGTTTACTTGTTTTGGTTGACCATTTGATAAAGTAAAATATTCTTGTCGCATCTTGTTTTGTAGAACTTTTCATATACTTTTGAATGATGTAATTTTTACTTTTTATTACTCTACCAATTTGAAATTAAAGTGATTTTAAAAGAGATGATATTTTGCACGTCGTTCGAAGTGTTGCAAATAAATTGGGACGGAGGGAGTATATATATTATAGAATTTGGTTCCAGTGAGAATGACATCTTATGAGAGAAATAAGAATCATTCTAAACCGTTGGATTATTGCCACGCAAGAGCTAATAAAGTTTCCTTTCTAAATACCTTAAGGGGCAAATTAGAGATAAAACTAAATAGCATATACGCACTCCTCCATCTCCCATTCTTTCCATTTTAATTTTATTTCCTTGACCTCACATTTTTAATATCTTGTAGATTTATATTCCTTAATCTAGATGGAAGTTTATTATCGCCATTACAAATAGAGTTTTTCTTTTTAATGTACTAATTGTTACTCTGTAATTTCAATTTGTTTTCGTTTGCATGAACTTTAAAAATATAATGGGTAGAGTCAGACTTATCATTTTGTAACATTACAATGAAAATATTCTTGTGATGAAACATAACTTTTAAAAATTAAACTACAATAAAATTTCTTTTGTTCCATGCTTTTTAATATTTTAAAAATTTCATAACAAAAAATATGTAAATTAGATTAATTTATAAATTATACAGTTGGATTTGCGTGTTCAATAGCTATACATAAAAATTAGTTTTATCAAAATATTGTTCCCTCAAAAATCCCTTTATGTTTTGTCAAATGCATAAATAATGTTTATTGGACCAAAGTATAATTTAAAAATACTTCTATTATGCAATAAGTTTTAGACCATGTTTCATTGAGTTACATCCATACTTAACAACTCCCACAATACGCATTTTTAGTGCATTATATAAAACATTTACTGCATCAGAAAGATTTTATAGTGCATATTATATAGAATCCACTCTTGTAGTATGCATTTTTAGTGCATTATATAAAATATTCAGTGCATCAGAAAGATTTCGTAGGGCATATTATATAGCAATCTCCACAGGGTCAATTACCATGGATATGGCACTTCACGGGACCAAGATGAAGATGACGATTAGGGGTGGACACGGTACGGTTCCGGGACGGTTCCGGTTCTGGAACCGCCGGTTTCGGTACCGCCACCCCTTGGTACCGGTACCGTGACCGGACCGGCCGGTACCGGACCGGCCACCCCAAATTATTTTTTTTTGCTTTTTTATTATATTTTGTGAAAAAATAGCTTTATCCCAGCCTGAATTCCTCTTCTGTATCTCCAATCCGGCTCAATTCCTCTTCTCTGTTCTTATGCTGGGCAAAAAAAAGGTACCTATAGAGGTGGAGAAGGCCGAAGAACAAGAAGCAGAGCAGAAGGCTGAAGAAGATGAACAGGGCTGAGCAGAAGGCTGAAGAATTGATGACCGAAGGCTGGGAAAAGCAAAAAAAATACACACGGTACCGGAACCGGAACCGGTACCGCCGGTGCCGGTACCGAAAAATAGGTACCGGAACCGGTACCGTGGGGGGCGGTGCCGGTACCGGTTCTCCGGAACCGGATATACGTGACGCCGGCGGTGACGGTAGCGGTACCGGTGGTACCGGTGCCGGTAGCGGTACTGTACCGGTACCGTGTCCAGGCCTAATGACGATGGGTAACCATAGAGCAAGATGTTTATAAATGTGTATTATACCCCATAGATATGCATCATAGAGAATTCAAAGTGCATTGCAGTTTAACATGGTTTTCATCCCTATTAATGTTTAATAATTATATTGATGAACAAACAATTTGTGGATTTCTATTATTGTGCATTCTATGAATAAAGGTAATGCATTTCCATGATAAAGAATTGCATTCTTAAAGTCGAGGTAAAGGATTATTGTATATTCTAAGAACAAAAGTGGATTTTTATCTATGAGATGGTGAAATTCTCATTACACAATTATGATGCACTAATGTATTCTAGATAATGAAAATTTTGGGAAAAATTCACACCAATGCTCCCAGAATTGCACGAGTTTACATAAATACTCCGAGATTCAATAAATGACATCAATGCTCCCAAACTTTTCCTATATTCACATCGGTGCTTCGAGAATTGATATGTGTTTACATCAGTGCCCCAACATTTGGAGCATAGAAGTAAACAAAAATCAATTCTCGGAGCAACGTTGTGAATATAGGAAAATTTTGGGAGCATTAGTATCATTTAACAAATCTCAGAGTATTTATGTAAACTCGTGCAATTCTGGGAGTACTGGTGTGAATTTTTCCAAAATTTTGCAAACAATGATGCACCGAAATGTAATGTGATACATTTGAATATGGATAAGAAACACGTTCAGTGATGCAGATTTAAATAATTAAAATGCATATTTAATATGTTTAAGTATAAGATGAGAATATCTTTGAAAAACCAAATTCTTGTTTATAAGCTCAAATGGTAGAGCGGTAAGCATTATGGGTGTGGGTTTGAATATAATCCCGCATAGGTAAACTGTTTTTCAAATTTGTATCACACTTGGTTGAAATGCAATGCATTCTCATGTTTTCTCATCACATACAGTCAATTAGTAGTCATTATTCACTAATCAAAAAATTAAGAATTAAAATTTGAATAAAATCAAACCGACAAATCACAACGCATATATCAACCATCACATTGCATTGGAAAAAATGGGATATTAAAAAGCATCCCATAAAAAGATGATAATACAAAATTATTTTATCAAATGAGTAACAAAAAAAATTGAACAAAAGAAATAAGATGTCAAAAAAATAAAGTAAATAAAGTTTGACTCTATAAATAATAAATATGTCATTTAAATTAGAACGGAGAAAGTATTCAATATTGGTATCGTTTGGTAGATCTCTAACAACAAATTATTTGTCAAAGACGGACTTGGGTACAAAAAGTTATGTGTAAATAAGCATTATAGTAGAATAAGAAAATGATATCAATGTTTTTATGTAATAAAATAGAAAGTGCAAAGTATGGGGGATTTTTATAGCGTTTCTCTAATGTACTTTTTGTTTTCCGTGTATACCCTTATTAACTACTACCACCCTATTTTAAAGGAATCTAATTAATACTTAACATTTTAATTAGTCGCCAACCATTAAACATGATGTAAAATCTTGGCCATCCAATTCATCTCATCTAACGGATCATTATCGTTCTTATTTCTTTCACCAAGCACCATTCTTACTGGAACCGGCCCCTATATATATATATATATTGGTTCTGGTGAGAATGCGATCTTAAGAGAGAAATGAGAATGAATCTGGTGCTTTAGATTGTGCGATCTAAGGGTCAGGATTACATCAAAATTAAATGCAACAAAATGGTTTGAAAATGCATCACGTCGAAATGCATCATAATCCTTTGAAAATGCACTATCTCAAAATCTGAGCGCAGGATGCAATATGAGCCGCACGATGCATCAGATCCAACGGCTAGATTTCATTCTCATTTCTCTCCACAAGGTGCATTCTTACAGGAACCGGCCCCTATATATATATATATATATATATATATATATATATATATATATATATATATATATATATATATATATATATATATATATATATATATATATATATATATATATATATATATATATATAGACCTCGCAAAACAGAACCGGAACCGATTACCCGAACCGAAATATCCGAAACCGAAACCGGAATGATCCGATCTATAACCGAAAACCCGAAATGATCCGAACCGAACCGAAACCGAACTAAATAATTCATATCCGATTTAAATCTGAAACCGATTAGATCCGAAACCAATAATATCCGAATCGATTAAACCCGAAACCGATTAGATCCGGACCCGATAATACCCGAAACCGATAAAATCCGAAACCGATTAGATCTGAAACCGATAATATCCGAACTCGATTAGAACTAAAATCGATAAATTCAGAACTATGTTTATCTTTCAATAAGCATATTATATTTTTAAATTTTTACTTTTATTTTACCATTTGAACTAGTTACATTACTTGCTCATTCCCTCATAAAATGAATTATCTTCTTGAAAAAAAGTACAAATTTTTATGCCTTAAATTTATTATATGTAGAAATTAAAGATAAGTTATACATATAAATGATAACGCACAAACAAATAAAATTTCCGTAATTTTTAAATAGTGAAGTGTGATATTCTTTTTGGGACGAAAGGAATATATATATGGTGAATTGTATGGAATAATTAGATTTTATCCTAATTTCATCTCATTACAATAAATTTTATTGGTTTGAGAGTTAATTTGATTAGTTTCAAACCAATTCACTCAATATTAGTCAATAAAATTAAATGTTAGTGTTAGCATTTTGAAAAAACTCTCTAGCGGCAGCCTTTACTGTTATCATTTTCAAATTTGATCTACACCATTACATTTAGGTGTAAAATTAATTATATTTGACTATATTAAATTTAATTTTCTCTATTTTCAACCAAATATACTCAACAATTTACAAATTTTGCACTCAATTGAATAAAATTCACTTAATTTCACCCAATTTTACTCAATTTTTACCAAATTATATTCAAATGGAACATAAGACTATTTGAATTTATCTTTTATCCTTTCATTTATATACATAAGTATATTAGTAGATGTGAGAAAATTTTTATATTTCAAAACTAAATTTTAAAATCAATTTAATTTATAATTTAAATATAGTATTAATTTATATATACAAAAGTATGAAACATCAGGTTGAAACATTTTATACTGATTTTAGTCAAAAGGGGAAAATTAGAAAATAGTATATATCCAAAATATATTTGATCCGAAACCGAAATATATCCGAACCGAACTAGACCCGAAACCGAAATATATCCGACTCAAATTGTATCCGAACCGAAATCTATCCGAACCGATTTATAACTGAACCGTATCTGAACCGAACCGAAAAATGTATAGAACCGAAATCAAATCCGAACCGAAATTTAACCGATCCGAACCGAACCGAACCGATTATAACATATAACCGAAAGATATCCGAACCGAAAAAATCCAACCCGAAACCGATCCGGTTGATCCGATTGCCACCTATATATATATATATATATATATATACATATATATATATATATATATATATATATATATATATAAAATAAAATCTAGCCGTTGGATCTGATGCATCGTGCGGCTCAGATTGCATCATGCGCTCAGATTTTGAGATAATGCATTTTCAAAGGATTTTGGTGCATTTCAGCGTGATGGATTTTCAAACCATTTTGGTGCATCTAATTTTGATCTAATCCTGACCCTTAGATTTCACAATCTAAAGTACTAGATTCATTCTTAGGAGTAAAGTGCAAAGCAATTTAAGAGGAAGTATATATTTGAAAGAGCTCCGCAATACTACAAAACCATTTTTTTTGTGTATTATAAACAATTCAATTTTCTGCTGCTAAACTGTAGAAACTAAAATAAATGAGCAAAAAACAATGGCAAATGACCTACAAAACATGGGGAATGCTACAATAACAAAAATGATACTTCATTCATCTCAATTTAAGCTACATGTTTACGATTTATATAGTTAAATTTTAATCACTTCATGCATTTTCGTTACTCATTTGATAAAAGAATAATCATGTCACCTCTTATTTTGTATTCTCTCCTTTCCAAATTAAGTTTCATATTTACTATCCACAAGGTCAAATTTCAATAACTTTCTTTTCCTATTTTAGTTAGCCATTTAATAAAATAATATAGTTTTTCCATTACTAGTTTTGTAGATTTATTGATGTAGTTTTTGAATATGTAATTTTTATTTTTTAAATATACACTATTTTTCATATAAATAATTTAAAAATAATTTCACTCAAATATCATAAACCGAAATATGCAATTTAAATCGTAACGGAGGGAGTATAATTTTTTATGTAGTTTTTAAATATATAAATTTTATTATTTAATTCTACCCCAATTCTCATATAATTTTTTTTAAAAATAACTTCAAACAAACACCGTAAACAACAACACACAACTTAAAATGGGCAGAAGAAGTATGAAGATTGACATCACCCATGTCTCACAAACAATAATTTCTCAACAATAATGTCAACTTTAGTGTTATGGTAGTAGCATTATTCACTTAGCATTACCCATAAGTCATGCACAGCCCACAATGAAAAAGGCTAGAGTGTCCCCAAATATGGTATCCAAGTTTTACAACCAATTTTGTAATGCATTGAGAATTGTTCACGTTGAGACTCAACAATGCTATTGTGGTCCTAAGGTCTACTGGTAAAATGTGGACCTTCTGACATAATATTCATCGACTCATAATTGAATTTCTTACTTTTTCAGAGTCCAATAGACCAATACATATAATCATTTTATGTATTAAGGTTCATGAAATGAATATTGATCTAAAAACCACACAAAAAAATGCCTAACACCAAATCCCTAGTTTCACTAGCCATTGCAAGAATCGCGGGGCATTCAACGAAACCCCAATCGATGTAACATGAAAAAAAGACAAAATTCACTTTTTTTTTGTTTCTATCAACTATGGAATTTATCTGCAGCCCTAATCCAAAACCAAAACAAGATCACAAGAAATGGTGTTTGATGATGTTTTGTGCACCGACTCGACTACCCAAAAAAAAAACTACCTGTTGTGTCGCGACTTTGCCAAAGTTTTCACCATACCCTTTGCAATTTTAGTAAACCAGAACAGATTCATCATTGTCAACACAGGAGGCACTGTGAGCAAGGTGCAGAAGCCCATCGGATACACTTTCTTGACCTATGCACACAATAACAAACCATGTAAGGCCACTGGGTTCTTTTTATAATTAAAAAAAAGCAGTGATCCGCGACTAACCTGATCAAAATGGATGAACATGTGGTAGAAAAAGTAGATGAACAAAAGTATCCTTGCCACCTGAAAGCATTGGAAGTCATTACTAGAAAGATAAGTCAATTCAAGAATGACGAACGAAGGATTGAAATGAGAGCAGGAGATTTAGATGGAAACAATTACACGGGTGTCACGGATTTTGTTGTTTATCAAGTCAACTATGCACTAGATTAATGATTTTAACATAAATGGTTTGCTGATTTTTATTATAATCAAACCAAAATTGACCATAACATAAATGACCATAGGTGGTTCGGTTTGTGGTTTAAGGTATAGACATTGAAAACCAACAAAACCATATGAAACCGACAAAACCCGGTTAGAATTGCATTAGATGAGAGAAATCTTGTGAGCCACATGTTCAAGACTAAAAAAAGAAAGAAAGTGATTAGTGTTTTTTGGGACTTCCAGAAAAAGAGTGGGTAAAGTTTTTTTTATATCAAGGAAGTAGTTGTTAATTGTTATTGTCATGTCTCATTGGAAAATTGGTATTTTATAATCAATATGCACATTATGGAAAACAAATCCAAAATAACTGCACAATACAAGATTAAAGCTTTAAGCGAACTAGTTATGTATCTAAGATTCTAAGGCACTAGCCTTGCTAAAAGAAAGTAATTTAAAGCAACTCGGACTTACCAACCATCCGAAAAACAAAGCCACTCCATTGAAAAGGTAAAGTCTGGAGTTCTTTAGACTAGCATTGTCTAGGTACCTGCTCGTACAGACAAATGTCAAATTGGAAAACGGGGATAGGAATGAAGAAGGGACTTTGTAATCTAAACTTACCATCTCAAATTAACAAATGGAGTAGTGATCTCAGAAAACAGAACCATCAATATGTATATCAGTCCTTGCCCACTTACAAGGCTTTGAACAATTGATAACAATGAGAGCCCATGGTGTAAGATCTAGAAAGAAAACCAAACAAGAAAACCAATTATATGTCTTATTCCAAATCTACAAACTAGAATTCTTATTTCAAAGGATTGGGATTTCAAACATATTTGGGCAATTAATTTTTATTAAAAAGGATAATTAAGAACAAAGGTCCACCATCATAATCAGTAAGTATCAAAAATTCAACAATAAACATCACTCCACACAAAATAAAAGAGAGGGTGCTTATATATGTACACTTACATACTCAAATCCACCTAAAGCCGGGAAGTAATAACAAATCATTGCCAAGTCAGCCAGAAAATAACCAGTAGAAACCTGTCATCAAATATATAGCAAAGTCAAGTAAGAACTAGGTCGCATCAAACACCATCAATTGCATAAAAATCATTTCTACAATGACCCGGATCAACTCTGAATTTAAATGTGTATGAAAATTGTTTGTTTTCTTAGGCTCAATAAATAGAGGAGACAATGCACAACCCCTAGTATGGTGTCCGAGAAAGACGATGTCCTGTTGATAACTGATTCTGCTTGAGAGCCATCATAAAAGAGATCCGATCCGACTAAGAGATATAGAGATGCAGCAGCAACAACCACAGCATGAAAGGTAGAAAACCCACTGCAGATGAAAAAACATCCAACTAATTTGATGGTAAAACAATTTACATACATAGTATTAACTTTAACTTTAAAAATAATTTGGTAAGAGCACAAATCAACATTACCGGTTTTTCCATTCAACTCGAGTTTTGTCATCAAGTCTGGTGTATCCCTTGTACAAGAAAGGGCTTATTGCTCCTGTTAAGTCATACACCTTCAAAAAAAGACAGGTATTGGTATTTTTTTTCACATAATCCAAGAAAATTGATAAAAAATCTCATCTTTTTTTCCCAAAATTCCATCTTTCAACCGTGGGAAGAAGAAAACATGGATTTCCCATTCAGCAGTTAAACAAGAAAATGTGAAATTAAGAAAGAAAATGATAAAAAGGGGACTTACTATCTTGCACATGATGATGCCAGCAGACACAGAGAGCAGCCAGTGGAATTCTTTACCCACTAGCGACATTCTGCTCTCTAAATAATCAGAACCAGAACCGAAACAACCAAGAGAACTTAACAAGAAACTTTTCTGCAATTACTGGGAATCTATTATTGGTCTCGAATGAGAGGAACCAAGAACAGGAAAGGAGACCGAATCCCACAAGAAAAGAATTATCTTGCTCGATAAGAAATAGGCAAAATGAAGAGAGTCAAAGAGAGGTGTCTCGAAAAAGGAAAAAAAAAGGTCAAAGAGAGGGAATTAATGGCCGGGTAATTCTTAAATCAAGAAATAAATCATACAGGAGAATTTCAAGAACAGCTGACGGTGCCGCAGAAGATCCGTTCGGGGGATTGACCGTCCATGGTGACGTTTGTCCAAAAAGTCTTTTACTCCATAAATCGATTCCATTATTCCAAGAAGCGTTTACGGTTTCTTTGAATGAGGTGAGAAAATTAGAGAAAATAAAATAGGATGAAAGAAAATGATGAGAAATTGAAAAAAAAATAATGTTTGAATCGGTATAAAATGATAAGAAAATGATGAGTAAGAAAAGTAAAAGAAAAAAATAAAAGAAAAAAGATTTTTTGATAAAAGTTTTGGCATGGATCTCACACAATTTTTTCTTTGAGTTATGTGTTTTTTTTAAAATTAGTCTCTAAAATTAACTAATTTTCGAGATGGTACTCGTTAATAAAGAATAATGCCTAGTTTAGTTTCCCGACTAACGACCGTTAAAACGGTATTCAAACGACGTTAAACTTTATACTACGAGTACTTTCCAAAAATAGTACTCGATCTCTATCTCGGTGTTTTCTCAAATTAGTCCATGCTCGAAATAAAAATTTATTAATTATGATAAAATATTTTAAATTTTATAGATGACAATTTATAATAATAAAAAACTGAAAATATAGTTTTATACATTTTAAATTAAGCATTTTAGATTATTTACAATATTTAAAAAAATATCATGTACATAAAATATTTAATAAACGTTAAATAAATCACTGTAAATAAAAGTAAAACATAAATAAATAACCAAGATATGAGCTCTTTCTCTATATTTTACTGCTATTTATGGTTATTTTTTAACATTTATTAAACATTATTTTATTTACATGAAATTCTTCTAAATAAGTGTAAATAATCTAAAAAGTTTACTTTCAAATTTATAAAATTATATTTATACTCGTAGTTTTTAGTGTTATATTGTCATCCTAAAAATATTAAAATAATTTTTCACAATTAATATATTTTTTATTTTGAAAATGGACTAATTTGAGAAAATAGTGAGTTAGAGAGTACCATTTTGGAAAATTAGTATAAAGTTTAACGTCGTTTTAACATCGTTTTAACGACCGTTAGTCGGGGGACTGAACTGCGCATTATTCTTAATTAACGAGTACCATATCAGAAATTAGTTAATATTGGGGAGTAATTTGGGAAAACTCGTAGTTATTGAGGACTATTTTGAGAATTTCTTGTTTTCTTTTCTTGCCTTTTTCTTTCTTATTCAAACATGAAAAATTGAATTAGAATACGGAGTATGTGTTTTCTTATCTTCTTTTTTCTTTCCCAGCATTTTCTCACCAACTAAATAATGATTTAATTTACTCTGTGAATCAATTTAAGATATTCTTGGATCCCGATCTTTTTCACAATAAAACATCCGAGTGGTTCATATGACATTAGTCACCAATGTCATAAAATATCCCGAGGCTCTTACCATGCTGCCTTTGAAAATTTGATGGTTTTTATCCTCCCTAATCCACCCTAAACACCTCTGCCCCTCCCTCCACTCCCAACCCCCACCCGCTCTCTCCATTCGTTAATTGGCTACAGTAATCGTTGTAGTCATTCGACAAAGAGAGGCGGCATAGGGTTCAAGAAAGATTAGGAGATAAAAGTCATCAATTTCTTAAATGGGGCACCATATGAGCTCGGGGTCATCCTATGACATATGTAATTAATTGTTGGGAAATGAGGCTTGGATAACGCAGAGAAAAACAAAAATTTAGGGTCCAAAACTCGACTCTACCCAAGAACAACTTACGTAAATTACTAGCTAAGTAAGAAAGTTACCTGAGCGATGAAAATGAAGAATAGAGAAATGGTCAGGGACGATTTTGAGGATATGAACGTAGCGCCAAACGTATGAAGCCTCCAACATATTCACGCGAACTTGCTCCGGAGTCTTAGATTAAACTTGTGCTAGCAAGTTTAATATAGGATAGTAAAACTATAATATTACGGAGTACTATTTTGGGGAGTAATGAATATATAGTAAAAATATTTATCTTATAATTATTTTTTTTAATAATATTTTGTGTATATTTCTAACACTTTAGAAAAATGATTTTGAACACAAAATAATATTTTCTCATTTTATAATACATTACTTTATAAGATTTCTAGATAATTATTTAGGGACAAAACAAAATAGGATTAATGTAATGTCTCCAACCAACACAACAAAACAAATATCCTTTACTAACCAAATATTTGATTATATCAACCAAATATATTATTAGGTGGAATATCAAAATGTGTCTTGCATTTTAATTTTCTTCCTTAAAAAATCGAAAACCCATTTAAAATTGTACATCATATTTTATTTTGACATTAATAATTATCATATAATTAAAATGATGAAAATAAAATTATATATATATATATATATATAATTTGTTTTGTCAAAATATAATTATCATATAATTAAAATGACACAAATAAAATATAATTTTAAAATACATATGTATTTTTCAAAATACAATTATGTATATGTAAAATTATCACAACTACATATTTAATATTACTCCCACTAGTGTAGTATACTATTCCCAAGTCCTAAGTGTGTGACCCTTTAGGTATCCATAACACTGGTAATGATATTAACATAAATTAATACCATAGATAATAAGCGGTATCTAGCAATACATTATTACCCCCCAGATTATGAAAAAGATGTTCATCTCATCAATACCTTCTACGACACAAGATGTTCTATAATCATTATCCTTCTGTCCTAAATGTCACGACCCAACACAAGACATGAGATGTGTACCCTTTTATAATTGAATCACTTGTTACTAAATCTCAAGTAAACTGGCAGGGATCAAATGTTTATCAATCTTTGGATAGTGACATATCTGGGCATGGCCATGCACTTTCCCAAGTCATACTATTCAGTGGGCCCATTGACATTATACTTCTATACAGTAGAAGGGACAGATCATATATCTATTATTCACATCTTTAAATATGCTTAGCGGCATACCCAACGCATAACGGTACGTCTACCAGTATTTCACATAGCATTAGTTATGAATCAAAGTATACGGCCCCACATACCAGAGAATGTAATAACTTCAAGTTTGATGATAGTTATAGCAAGGTCGAATTGAGAATACTGATAAACACATTATTATAGATTCATGTAGATTCATCTCGTACGTACCAGTCTTGATACCTTACGACGTCCGTATTATCATAAAATGCGACTAGGGATATTCTAGACATAGCCTTCAATTCATCAAGAAGTAACGATCTCATAATCAGAACATCATAGTTCTCATCTATGTCACTGAAGCGCTATCGTATATGGGCTGAAGCTATGTTATGTTAGACGAGATATAAAACATACTTCAAGGTCTTTCATTCATGATAAAGTGTACAGTAACATAGGTATTTGATTGCCGCTAGGGCACCTAAATACAACATTAATGTTACATGAACCGGGCGATATCAAAAAATAGCCAAGGACCTTGTGGTCCACTGGTACCATTGTGGTTCTCTTAAATGGGAGGTCACGTGTTTCATTCCTAGGGTACGATAACTCTCTGAGCTTCAATAGATACTCCGTATACGATTATCAACTACTTCGTATAGAAGGTCTAAATAAAAAGGTTAACTATGGCTTCATTGTAAATTTCATAAATGGAATGTCACATGTTCGATCCACAATTGAGACATTGCCTCAGCCATTTTTAAGGATGGGATGGGAGAGTAGGAAGCAGGGAAGCGTCATTTGACTAACATATCATGTATTATTTTGAAGAAAGGAGGCAAATCTATCACCTTGAGGAAAAACGAAACACGACCTGTACCATATGAGGTTTAGAGCTAGCTGCACAAAACAAAGAGAATCAAGGGGGTGAATGGAGAAGACGGGAGATGTGAAAGAATAAATTGAGTAAATGTTGAATTGGATAGGCAGGATAGCTTCACCACGAAGTAAATTAGGGAGGGTAGAATAGTCTTTTTCTTATATTTTTCTTACTTAATAAGGAAAGTGGATAAATATTGTGGGACAACCAAAAAAGAATACTGGACAAATATTGGAGACAAAGGGAGTAATTAAAACATGTTTAAAAATGTAAAAAGTGATAAAAATAATGACTTGTCACTGTAAAATATGTCACTCCACTCACTTGCCACTCTGTGACTAGAATATTTTTATTGGTTGAAATGTGTCATATCACAGTGTGGACTTCCATTTACTTACTTATCATTGCTCATGCTCTAATACGGAGTATTAAGAAGTTATGGGCCAGGCCGCCTAGTGGCCCGTTTGAATCACTTTAATGGGCGGGTTTATGCATGATGTTTCATCCAAATTTTAAGGGCGAGCTTGGCCCGCTCACATATATGAGCAAAAATTTTACTTCAAGCCCGACCCATGTCTGACTTAGATTCGTATTTGTGAAGGTCTACTCGTGCTGACTTATATTTTAGGGTCGGTTTGATGAGTTTTGGAGATAAGATATGATATAGATTATGAAATTTAGGAAAAACGATATGAGTTTTAAAATCTAAAATGAATGTATTTAAAGATATTTAAAGTTATGATTTAATTAGTGATTGACGAGAAACGCTAGCAACATGGGTGATCGACGATGATAGCGATAGCCGGTGACGGAGATGGTGAATAAATTAGGAGATATCAAATCCTTACATTGATCTCTCAAATTTAAGAGATATCAAAACTCTTTATTATATAGAAATATCAAATTTGATTTTTTCTATGCATCACCAAATACAAACAAAAAAGAAAGAAAAACTGAAGAGTGTGTTCGGGTCGGGGCGAGGTGGGGAGTTTACCGGGGTTAGGGGGTAGGAACCGTCAATTTTACGAACGGGGCACCGAAGCACCACT